TTTTTTTTCTCCCTATTTATTCCTCTCCCACCAGGTTTTTGGGTGTATTTTTTTGCCCTTTATTGCTGATCTGCCAGTGTTGCCTTGTATTTTGTAACCTAATTTATTCTATTTTTGTATATTTATTGCGAGGAATTAAAGGTCGTGTCGGGTTTGGGAGAGAAAAAAGGGGGAAATTTTAAAAACCCAGCTCGGATGCTTTTTCCCCCCCTTTTTTCATAGATTTATGGGGATTTTTGTGGGGTTTTGAATAAAAATATGTGCTTTTTGGTTTTCTAGAATATTGTGTTTTCCCACTGGTTCACAGAGATTGAGGGAATTTGGGGGACAAAGAGAGGGGGTTCCCCCTAGATTTTAAGGGATTTAAGGATTGTAAGAGGGTTTTAATGGGTTTTTTTAAGGTGTTTTAAGGATTTTTAAAGGTTTTGGGGTGCATTAAGGGGGAGTTAAGGAGGTTTAAAATTTTGGGAGTTTTTAGGTATTTTAAGGTTTTTTAAGGAGTTATCAGGGTTTGTAAGGAGGGTTGGGGGCTTTGAAGGGGTTTGAAATTATTTTTTAGGGAGGCTTAATGCTTTTAAGGGGTTTATTTTGGGATTTTTGGGGGGTTTAGGTGGGTTTTAAAAGTGAGAGGGTTTAGGGGTTTTAATGGGGGTTTAAATGGGATAAAGAGGATTTTTAAGGAGGTTTAAATGAGTTAAAGAGGGTTTTTAAAGGGGTTTACGATTTTTAGGGGGTTCTCAGGGATTTTAGGGGGTTCTCAGGGATTTTAGGGGTTTCACAGGGCTCCGGGAGCGTTTCCCATGCGGGGCCCCTTTCCCCAGCAAAACCCAGGAGGAATTTTGGCCTTTCCATCCCCCGCCGCTCCCCGAAGCCAAAGCCCGGCCGCGCCGGCTGCCCGGAGCCTGCAAATGACTGGGTAGGAAAACGCCGGAAAAAAAAGGGTTTGACATTTTTTTCTGCCCCAAACCATAATAAGGGACGGGTGGGGGGTGAGGGCGGACCAACATCGCGCTGCGAAAGCCGCGGGTTTGGGGGATTTTCACCCCAATCGGGGGGACTTT